TAGGCATACTAAAGGCTTGCCAGGGCACATGCACTGCTTTTCTTTAACCCACACAGCCAGCTATCTCATCATAGAAGGCAATTAGGTTAGTCAGGCCCGATTTCCCCTTCTTGAATCCATTCTGACTGTTCCTGGTCACCTTTCCTTACTAAATGTTTCATAATTGATTCCTTGAGGACCTGCTCCATAATTTTTCCAGGGACTGAGGTGAGGCTGACTGGCCTGTAGTTCCCCGGATCCTCCTTCTTCCCTTTTTTAAAGATGGGCACTACATTAGCCTTTTTCCAGTCATCTGGGACCTCCCCCGATCGCCATGAGTTTTCAAAAATAATGGCTAATGGCTAATGTCAAGCCTGTCATGGTTTAAATTTCATCTGTCATCATGCTACTTCATGGCAGTCTCATAGAACTAGTATTTGTCAGATTCTGCTTCTTTTTAATGTAATGTCCTTCAGAGAGAGATAATCTGCACTTGCATAGCTATACAGATGATACTCTCCTATTCACATTATTCTTACTTCAGAGTATCCTACGGTAATTTTATCTCTGACCAGTTCTTTATGGGTCATTTGGCAATATCTGTCGCATAACATCCTGAAGCTGAAGTCAGGAAAGACAGAAGTACTGATTATTGGCTCTGTCAGAGATTGCTGAACGCTACTCATTCGCTTGATTATGTCACTGATTCTATCTCCGTGTACAAAAAATAAAATAAAATAAATCAGGAGTTATATCTGCATCCCATATTCTTCAGAGTGATATTATTATGATATGGTTATGGCATAATTATGATGCATTTTGTACAAAATGGGTCATGTGAGGTGTCATTGGAAAAGTTATGATTTGCTGAATATTATTATCCTATTTGTACGCATGTATCAATTTTGTATCTAAAGTTAGGAATATTGACTATGTATCTGTATTTCAAATGTGCTTACTCTGGATGACACCCACAATTAGCCTTTCTGGTACAATAATGAAGAAGCCAGACAGTGCTGATGGCCCATTAGCAAAGACAATAGACTCTGGAAGAACATAAACTTCCTGTGAATGTGCCTGACAGCCCGAAAGTAGTGGTTGCTATGACTCAGCAAGGTATGCAAGGGCATGTGACCAGGCCACATGACTCTGGACTCCATCTTGGGATGTCCGTGTTTTTCCACAAACTGAGTTTGGGACTAAGAGTTCCCGCCATATGCTAAAGCTATGTAAGGCAGGGAGTGACATCATCTGTTGATCTTCACTCCCCACACAAGAGGACTCCTGGAATCACCTGAGGAACAAAGACTGAACTGGGAGAAGTGCTGGACCTAGGCTAAAGGGATTTCTAGCCCGTGTATGAAAAACCTGGGGATTCCAAGCTGCAAAACAAGTGTAATTTGTGCCTTAAGAATCTGCAACCTGCTTGTATCATCAGTGAGGGTGAGAGATTGTTAATTCAAATCCTCTCTTTCGAGTATGTTAAGCTTAGTTTGCGTTTACTAGGTAATCTGTAGTTAAAACTTTTATTTTATGTTTTAATCTAAACCAGTAAGTTTGGAGTGAAGTGCTTGGGAATCTTAGTTCAGGGGTCTGTTGCATTTCCTTTTCACATTGAGGGAGGGGTGAACTCTATGAGCTTACGCTATACAGTTTCCTGTGCAGCACAAGATCATATAATTTTGTGTTTATATTCCAGAGTGGGGGTGTGTGACTGGGGAGATGGTGGTTATCTTGGTTGTAGCCTCTCTATTGTTGGTTCATGCAGTGGCTAGTAGAGAGCCTTCATGTAACTGCAGCTAGGTGTGTCCCTGCCTATGTGAATGCTGGTGGAAGTGTAGGACCGGGAGCGGGTCTACAGTTTGTCACAGCATCACAGTGTGAGAGGGAGCCCAGGCTGGTGAGTCAGAGGGCTCAGCGGTACCCGAGTTCCAGTTGGCACTCCAGGGGGAACCCTCACAATACTATCCTCAGATTTACTGATGGTCAGGTATCTTAGGTCCATTACTCAGACTTCTGTTTCATGTATGAAACTTTGTCAGGCTGTGACCATTGCTGGGAAAAAGAGATTTTGAACTACTAATCTTTGTCTTTTCAAGGCTAGATTATCATAATTATTTTCAGGAGTTTTTATTCATGTTCTATTCTATTCTGATGTGATTATTATTAATATCTAAGTAAGTGTCATATTTGAGTTGCTCCAGCTATAATCTTGAGTTAGTGGGAGCCCGGCCCTTTTGTAGCTATATACCCTGGTTACAGAGTTCACGGCCTAGTGATCAGATGCCTGGCCAGCGGGTGGCTGAAGGACTGGATAGAACAACATGAATGACATGTTGTGATCGGCGCTCTCTCTGTGAGGGCTGATGGACCAATCGATCAAGGTGACATTATATAATGCCCTGAGATTCTCTTGTTTCCTTAGTTTACCCCTGAGTTGGCTTGCTGTCCTGGGAATATTCTTCAGAGACCAAGGCTTGGTTTTTTTTCTTCTTGGTGAGCTATCAAAGGAACTGCTCTTTGTTTTAGGACAGGATTAAGCACACTAGGAAATGGGGCACTGCTGGAGGGACATCAATATTTAAATCTGCCTTATTGGCTCACAGTCCAGGTGGCACTGCAATGGGAAGTTGATAAAGTACAGGTAGGAACTGAAGAGAAACAGTCAAACAAAAAAGGGTCCAATTCAATTGCATCACATGAAGACAGACAAGTAAATATTATAATTTTTTTTGGGGGGGGGGGTCAACAAACATATGGACAAGGGTGTCCCATGGATTTAGTATACTTGGACTTTCAGAAAGCTTTTGACAAGGTCCCTCAAGAAAGGCTCTTAAGCAAAGCAAGCTATCATGGGATAAGAGGGAAGGTCCTCTCATGGATCAGTAACTGGTTAAAAGATAGGAAACAATGGATAGGAATAAATGGTCAGTTTTCACAGTGGAGAGAGTAAAAGCAATGTCCTCCAAGGATCTGTACTGGGGCCAGTGCTGTTCAACATATTTATGAATGATCTGGAAAAGGGGGCAAACAGTCAGGTGGCAAAGTTTGCAGATGAGACAAAATTGTGCAAGATAGTTAAGTTCAAAGCTGACTGTGAAGAATTACTAAGGGATCTCACAAAACTGGGTGACTGGGCAAGAAAATGGCAGGTGAAATTCAATGTTGATAAATGCAGAGTAATGCACATTGGAAAACATAATCCCAACTATACATACAAAATGATGGGGTCTAAATTAGCAATTACCACTCAAGAAAGAGATTTTGAAGTCATTGTGGATTGTTCTCTGAAAACATCTGCTCAGTGTGCAGTGGCAGTCAAGAAAGCTAACAGAATGCTAAGAGCCATTAAGAAAAGGCTAGATAATAAGACACAAAATATTGTAATGATATTATTATGCAGGTTTGCTCACCCAATCTCAGAAAAAATATATATTAGAATTGGAAAAAGTACAGAGAAGGGCAACAAAAATGATTAAGGATATGGAACAGCTTCTACATGAGGAGAGATTAAAAAGATTGGGACAGTTTAGTCTGGAAAAGAAGTGACTAAGGGGTGTATGATACAAGACTATACGATTGTGAATGGTGTGGGGAAAAAAGTGTTCTTTACACCTTCATGTAACACAAAAAACAGGTGTCACCCAATGAAACTAATAGGCAGCGGGTTTAAAACAAACATAAGGAAGTACTACTTCACACAGTGCACAGTCTGCCTGTGGAACTCATTGCCAGGGGATGCTGTAAAGGCCAAACGTATAACTGTGCAAAAAAAAAAAAAAACCCGAATTAGATAAGCTCATGGAGGGTAGGATGGTCAGGGACGCAACCCTATGGTCTGGGTGTCCCTAAACCTCTGACTGCCAGAAGCTGGGACTGGATGACAGGAGACAGATCACTTGAGAAACTGGCCTGTTTTGTTCATTCCCTTTGAAGATCTGGCACCAGCCACTGTCAGAAGACCGGGTACTGGGCTATACTGACCATTGGTCTGACCCATTAGGGCTGTTCTTAAACTAACACAATCAACTAACATTGTTAATGCAACTTTACCTGAGGCTATAAAGTACCTTCCCATCTGGCTGGACCCGTAGCATGACGTTGTCAGTGGTGGTGTCATGGATAAAGGAGCGCTTGGAATGTACAAAGAACATGTCAGGAACCCAAATTTTTTTCACTAGCCTGCCATCAAATGTCATGCTTTGGTTGTTGGTGCTTGGGAAGGACAGTCTTTCATCTTTCCAGTAGTGTCTCAGATAAAGGGTCATGGTGAAGTCCTGAAAGTAACCAACGAAAGAAATAGGTTTCACATTACGATTTATTCTTTGTGAGGAACATTTCACTGCATTTAGCACCAACAGTATATAAATTTATACAACCTAATTTAAATGGGAATAATTATAGAATCATAGAAATGTAGGGCTGGAAGGGACCTTGAGAGGTTATCTAGGCCAGCCCCAGCACTGAGATTATCTCTGACAGGTGTTTGTCTAACCTATTCTTAAAAGCCTCCAATGATGGGGAGTGCACAACCTCCCTTGGAAGCCTATTCCAATACTTAACTAACCTAATAGTTTGACAAGTTTTTTCCAACATCTAACCTAAATCTCCCTTGCTGCAGATTAAGCCCATTACATCTTATTCTACCATCAGTGGACACAAACAGTTGATCACCCTCCTCTTTAACAACACTCCTTAATATATTTGAAGAGTGTGATCAGGTTTCTCCCTCGGTCTTCTTTTCTCATGACTATTCCCCAATTTGTCTACATCTTTCTTAAAATGTGGTGCCTAGATCTGGACACAGTACTCCAGCTGTGTTTATTTTCAGGAATTCCATTCTCCTTTATGAACTACAAGTTCAGCACCCAATCCTGCCCCACTGAAGTCACTTGCTCTCCTTTAACTCCTGAAGACTGATTAACTGTGGTCCAAAGACCCTCCAAATGGAAAATCCATTTATAAAATATATACTCTTGTACTTATACAGTGCTTCTCAGTATGTAGGGTAGCCCTCTAGAGGGTAGACACACTAATCCACTGATGGAAGGTGAAGGCAATGGGGTGGAGAAAGCTACATGACTCTAGATCCTCCCTCTCCCCACCTCACATTCCTGTGGCTAATAAGAAAAAGAAGCAGGTGGCTCCTAGAAACCATCCACCTTCCATTCTTGCTCTTGCAATGGCTTTTCATGCAGCCAGCCAGTGGAGTAGCTCCCATGCACAGGACTGCAGTCTGAGCCATCAGACTGTGCTGAGAATAAACTGGGAGAGGGCAGTGAAATGTGGGAGCCTTTTCTAAATTTCGTCAAGAGACGGGGCAAATCTAAAAACAAAAGACTGTGCAAAGAGAATGTGCAGTCTGATGCAGAGCCCTGTGCAGGCAGGCTGCAGATGGGATCCTATGCATGAGGAAGATTGTCATTGTCTTTCTGAAATATGTAAAGCAGAAACCCTCCAAAACATGATTTAGCTGCAAGACGAGAGAACTTTCACGTGTGTAAAACATTGTAGAGTCCACAATTTTAAGGCCTCCAATTATTTTGTTGGACATATTTCCTCGCTTTCATTTTAAGATTAAAAAAAATATACAGGAGGTCAGACCCTGAGCTAGTGTAAGTTGCCAACACTGATTTGCTCCAGATGAGGATCTGGCCAAAATTGTGGAATTTGTTGGTCTTATTTTTTATTGTTACATTTCTACTTCTCTAGACTTAAAAGACTCCAACCTAGTGTGGGAAGTGTTTCTATTAGGGCTGTCAAGCGATTGAAAAACAATTAATCGTGATAAACTGAGCAGTTAAACAGTAATAGAATACCATTTACTTAAATATTTTGGATGTTTTCTACATTTTCAAATATATTGATTTCAATTACAACACAGAATACAAAGTGTACAGTGCTCACTTTATATTTATTTTTTATTACAAATATTTGTGCTGTAAAAAACAAAGGAAATAGTGTTTTTCAATCCACCTCATACAAGTACTGTAGTGCAATCTCTTTATCATGAAAGTTGAACTTACAAATATAGAATTATGTACAAAAATAACTGCATTCAAAAATAAAACAATGTAAAACAGCCATCATTCCAGAGGACATGCGTCCATGCTGATGACAGGTTCTGCTCGATAACAATCCAAAGCAGTGCAGACCGACGCATGTTCACTTTCATCATCTGAGTCAGATGTCCCCAGCAGAAGGTTGATTTTCATTTTTGGTGGTTTGGGTTCTGTAGTTTCCACATCAGAGTGTTGCTCTTTTAAGACTTCTGAAAGCATGCTCCACACCTTGTCCCTCTCTGATTTTGGAAGGCACTTCAGATTCTTAAACCTTGGGTCGAGTGCTGTAGCTATCTTTAGAAATCTCACACTGGTATCTTCTTTGCGTTTTGTCAAATTTGCAGTGAAAGTGTTCTTAAAACGAACAACATGTGCTGGGTCATCATCCGAGACTGCTATAACATGAAACATATGGCAGAATGCAGGTAAAACAGAGCAGGAGACATACTATGCACCCCCAAGGACTTCAGTCAAAATTTAATTAACGCATTTTTTTAACAAGCGTTATCAGCATGGAAGCATGTCCTCTGGAATGATGGCCGAAGCATGAAAGGGCATACAAATGTTTAGCATATCTGGCACGTAAATACCTTGCAATGCTGGCTACAAAAGTGCCATTCAAACACCTGTTCTCACTTTCAGGTGACGTAAATAAGAAGCCGGCAGCATTATCTCCTGTAAATGTAACAAACTTGTTTGTCTTAGGGACTGGCTGAATAAGAAGTTGGACTGAGTGGATTTGTAGGCTCTAAAGTTTTACATTATTTTATTTTTGAGTGCAGTTATGTAATAAAAAAATAATCTACATTTGTAAGTTGCACTTTCATGATAAAGTGATTGCACTACAGTACTTGTATGAGGTGAATTGAAAAATATTATTTCTTTTATCATTTTTACAGTGCAAATATTTGTAATAAAAATAATAATATAAAGTGAGCACTGTACACTTTGTATTTTGTGTTGTAATTTAAATCAATATGTTTGAAAATGTAGAAAAACATCCAAAAATATTTAATGAATTTCAGTTGGTTTCTATTTTATTTGTTGCATCATGTGCTACCTTTTCAAAAGATGGAACTTCTGCCAGATCTGAGATGTGTTCCATCTTTTTTGGCTCAGTTATATCCTTTACAACCTTGAGCCCAAAAGTGCTTATGCTTGTGTTTAATTTTTAGCAAGTGAGCAGCCTCACTGACCTCCACTGGACTACTCAGTTACCTAAAGTTAGGCATGTGCATAAAGGTTTTCAGGATCAGGGATTTACTGTGAAACCAAAGATGTTGCAGTGTGTTTGGCCCCTTTATATGAAGCAGGTCCCAGAACCCCTGTGCTAGAACAAGTCTCCCAGTTTGGCCAATTAAAAGGGCAGGGCAGCACCTGGGTCTGTATAGAGGCAGTCAGTCAGTAAGGAAGGGATGGTGGCAGAGGAGGATAATGGGGGTTGGGGTCTGGGTCCCCCAGAAGAAGCTACCAGAGTCCCATGGGTGCGGAGGCAGTGGGAACCTGCTGAGGAGAAAGCTCTGGAAAACAGTCCTCAGTTAACCAAACACAGAAGAATCCTGCAGTAGCACCTGAGGCGGGTGGGACTGAAAGATGCAAAAGGGAAAATCCCCTGGGAGCTCTAGCCTAGGGTGGTGCTGGTTTTATGCTTTGCTTATGTTTGCAAAATAAAAGCGTGCCTGAAAAGCGACTCTGGATGTGGCAGTAGGTCCTTTGTGGGTTAAGAACAAGCCAGCACTATTTTATGAGGGAATATATAGTACCCTATTGTTTTGAGGGAAACTGCTGGCTTGTGGACATCTGATAAAAGTGAATTGACAGCTGAGACACAAAGTCAAAAAAGCTGAATTTTTTTTAATTGATTGGATTATTTGGGTTCTTTGGTAACATCAAAAAACAACAACTGAGGAAAAAACAACAACTGAGGAGAGTTGGCAGTTTTTCAAAGGGACACTATTAAGGGCCCAAAAGCAAGCTATTCCGCTGGTTAGGAAAGAGAGAAAATGTGGCAGAAGACCACCTTGGCTTAACCACGAGATCTTGCATGATCTAAAAAATAAAAAGGAGTCATATAAAAAATGGAAACTAGGACAGATTACAAAGGATGAATATAGGCAAACAACACAGGAATGCAGGGGCAAGATTAGAAAGGCAAAGGCACAAAATGAGCTCAAACTAGCTACAGGAATAAAGGGAAACAAGAAGACTTTTGATCAATACATTAGAAGCAAGAGGAAGACCAAAGTCAGCGTAGGCCCCCTGCTTAGTGGCGAGGGAGAACCAGCATAAAGAATCTTGGAAATGGCACAG